TCATCGGTGATGTTCGTGAGGGTATAAAGTATATTAACAATTCGGAGGGTAGACGTCTAAATTTTTCAAAGGCTGCACATCAAATGCAAATACATGATTGGAAGTTAATGCTTGATGTTCCAACACGACAGAGTTCAACCTATGATATGTTGTGCATGACTCTAAAGTTCAAAGATGCTTTCCCAAGGTATAATAAAATATACCTTAAAGTTTTTAACACATGTTCATATTCACTATCACCTTAATTGTGGTTTTCTCAGGTATGCAGAGTATGAACCACATTTTCATCACTTGCCAACTGACGAAGATTGGGAAAATGTTCAAAGTGTATGTGAAATTTTGAAGGTTTTTAAGGTTTGTGTTTAATATGCATAATATTTTATAAATAAATGATTTTTTTGTTGACTAAATCCAACGATTATGTTTAGGTGTGCACAAATATCATCTCATGTAGTGATTATCCTACTGCTAATTTATATCTAATTGAAGTGTTTAGAGTGAAGCAAACTCTTGATAAAGGTTCATTATCTGCAAATGATTTTATTCGTGATATGATGAAGAAAATGAAGGAAAAGTTTGACAAGTATTGGGGTGAGTGCCACCTTGTAATGGCAATAGCTTCTGTGTTAGATCCACGGTTCAAGATGAAGTTGGTTGAATTTTGTTTTCCAACACTTTATCAAAATTCAGACGAGAACATTAAAGAAGTGAAGAATGCACTTTATGAAATGTATTCAGAGTATTTAGAGATGCATGATACATTAGTTAGGGAATCTGCAGCACATGGAAGCGAACATGAAAGAAATGTTTTAGGGTTGAATGAAGGTAATGGGAGGCGTTTGGAGAGTTCATAAAGACTGTAAATTTGGAGAGACCAGAAGTCAGAGCTTGATATGTATTTAGAAGAAGGTGTTTATAGGGAGAAAGGACAAACAGGAATGGAATCATTTAATGCTTAGAGTGGTGGAATGTGCACAAGTTAAAGTATCGTGTTTTGTCATTGATGGCTAGAGATGTACTTGCAATCCCGATTTCTACTATTGCATCTGAAGCAACTTTTAGTGTCAGGGGTAGAGTTATTGATCCATATCAAGCTTCATTGGGGTCCGATATGGTACAAATGTTGATTTGCGGAGGAGATTGGATTAGGCAAGTTCATGGAGTCAAGAAAAAATTAATGGTATATATGAAATAATCAAAACCACATTATAATTGTTATTTTAATAGTTTAAATTATTAATTTTCAACCTTTTTATTTTGTAGAAGGAGGTGTTTCCTATTGAGGTTTTACTGCCTGAGGTGAACACAAAGTAATTGAAGGTAATTAGATGTGTTAAACAGCAAATTGTTAATCTGAAAAATATTTCAAAAAATGATTCCTTTGTACATTTTGCAGGTTTTGTGTATCGGAGGAGTGGAGCTGCATAAAGGAAGATTTGTCTATTTCTAGTCGTTCAGTAATTAGGAGTTTAACTACTATTTTTGTAATTTGAGTTTTTACTCTTTATGTTTTTATAAATGGTTATATTTTAGACATTAAATCAATGCAAATGGAGAATCTATGAATGTATGTTTTGAAGTTAGAATTTGGATTATTCCCTTGAATATATGATAAAAAATTAAACGAGCCCAAAAACCATAAATGAGCTCGAGTCGAGCCTAAGCTCATTTAGGCTCGCGTGACAAACAAAACGAGCCGAGCTCGAGCTTCTTCTTTTTCCTACGAGCCGAGCACGAGCTTTGAAATTGGGCTCGAAACGAGTTAGCTCGAGCTCGAGCCAACATACATTTATACGAGTTCGAGCCGAGCTTAGGTATGTTCGGGCTCGGCTCGGCTCATTTACACCCCGAATCAAAACCATACATAATTTTGTTCAAAACCAATCATAGCAAAATGTATCTCTCAAACATCAGAGTAAAATGGTAAAAATCAGTGCGGAAAAGCTATTAAGGGTTGTTGTGCAATGAAGCCAGGCCCTTCCCTTTGGAACTGGAAGTACCTGGAAATATTTAAACCATAAAACCATAAGCAAAAAAGTTTAGTGAGTTCCCCAAAGCCATGGGCTACCCCCGTGGTCTTACATAAAAGTGTCATGGGCTACCCCTATGGTCTTTTCATGAAATGTCATGGGCTACCCCCATGGTCTTACATCCAAGTACCATAGGCTACCCTTATGGTCTTATATTCAAGTGTCATAGGCTACCCTCATGGTCTTTCATTGACATGGGCTACCTCCATGGTCTTCCATGCAAGTATCACAAATACAACTATCATCCTACATAGTATAGTGGGAAAACTAACCTTTTTCACAAAGTCATACAAATCTCAGCTCAACGCCACGAAACAGGTACAATCCACCTGATCGAATCACACAAGGTCACACCTCAGTTTACACTCTAGAACTAACACTTTGACCAAAAGTCAATGAGCTCAAAAAGTCAACGGTCAACGATGACTTTAGCAGGCTTCCACGTCTTGGGCAATCCATGACCACGTCATAGTTGATGAGCTCAGTCCCAATCCAAAATCCTAGTCGCAAACAAGTCTTTTGCCAAGCCGTGGGAATCATGCTTCCACGTCGTAGCAGGGTCCATCCAAAACAGGTGTGAATCCCCCAGTTGCCATGTCGTCGGAACTATACTTTCTTATCTTAATGGATTTGGCTCTTAATCCATTAATTCGTTTCTTCATTCCTTCTAGAAGGTTTCCTAACTTCCAGTACAACCTAAAGATCAATGTTTTTCAATCATACATGTCTAATGCAAGTCTATAGCTTAAGCTAGGTCAAAAATGAAGAATAACACCAAAATCTCATGCATGAAGATCAAAACACCAACACACTTTAAATATGAACCTTATCTTCTCCGGGGGGGGGGGGGGGGGGAGGGGGGGGGCTCAAGGATTGATAAAGTTAACTTTATGGAATCCCACCATTCTAACTAGCTTATCTTTAAAGAAAATGGACCAAAACCTAGATCTAGAGACATTAAACAATAATAATTGGATTTTTAATACTTACAAAGGTCCATAATATAAGACATATGATGACGATGATGCTTGCAAGCTAGATCTATGCACCAAGTGAGCTTCCTTCTCCTTCAAAACACAAAAACACCAACAAAAGCTTAATATCTTCAACACTGGAGGCTAGGACTTCTATGAGAGTGAAAGGGATGTGATGGGGGTTGAGGGTGTGAAAACCCCAACCATCACAACCCTTAAATTAGGGTTTTACATAAAATGGTTGCCACGTCGTGGGCACTATATCGCCTCATCGTGGTGTTAATTTAAGATGCACAACTCATACCAGACCTACCACGTTGAGGTGTTGCCTCCACAATGGTGTGGGCCTATGGCCAACCAATACCCATACTTTACTTTAAAAATTCATAGCTCGATGATTCGGATGTTACAAAAATCAAACCTAATCACATCCTACAGATCCATATCGAACTCTAATACTAAAACCCTAGAAAGGCATAAATCAAACTCCAAATCTTCTTTTAGATTGAAACCCAAATCGGAAAAATCATAAACCTGACCCACTGTCCCAGCTCTTCCTTGACCAACGTCCTTCTTCCTAGCGTTATCTCTATTAGACCTTCAGAAATCATACTCCTATCTTGAAACCCTAGAACATTGCAATTGCTTCACAAATCAAACTCAAGATTTGAATTTTTTGGTCTTGAAGAATGGAGGAGATGCAAAGATGAACCGAGATTTTGGAATGTTGTGGGAGGCCATCACGTCATGGTGCCTTTTGTTTTTCAATCCCTTATAAGATGGTTTGATGGGGCTTAAGGGTGGTGGTTTAGGCAATTTTGAATTTTTTTTTTTTGTTTTGATTTTTTATCACTTAAGAAAAATAAAATCACATTATTAATATACTAGTTATTACAAGTCAAGGTACCTTTTTAATAGGTAAATATGGAGTTTATTTTCCTAGACTACCAAAAAATAATATTATAGACGTTTCAAACTATGAAAGAAAATTTTGCATGGTTACAATCATATTATCCCTTTGGGATTTACTTTTAGAAGAATGATGAATTATTATGTTATAGTTTTTGTTGGGAAAAAATGGTCTGTTACACTTGGGCAATTCAGGGAGAGAGAAAAGTATAATATTTCTGAAATTGCTAAAACTATTGTAGTTTTTTGTTTTTTTTATGGATTATTGTAGTGAACTGCTTGGGTCACATAGAGTAAACTACACAAATGGTCTTTATAGTTTGGGTTAATTTGCATTTTTGATCCCTAACTTAATTTTTTAATTTGAAAGATTCTTATTGATTGTTTTTATTACGTGTTTGGTCCCTATTGTTTGTTTTTGTTACACGTTTAATCCCTATCATACCTAAAAAAACTATTATTTAAATAGGAAAAAATGATGGGATACGTAGGGTGAGAAGAGTGAGATTAGGGGTGTGTTGATTTAAATAAATTAAAAAATAAAGGAAAAAATAGACTTTTTATGTAAGACATGGACTAAACGCGTAACAAAAACAAACAGTAAGGATCTTCCGAGTTAAAAAAATAAGTTAGGGACCAAACGCGCAAATTACCCTAAACCATAGGGACCATTCATGTAATTTACTCGGTCACATAATTGGCTTTAGGCCTCCACTTATAAGTTTTGGCTACAAGTTTTTTGATAACTTAGTTGTGTAGAATTGTCATTGGAAATTTAAAAACTTTTGTCCCTAATCCAACTTTCATGTTTTATCAGACAAAATTACATAAATGGTGCTCATGATACCCGACATTTTTGACACAAATGGTCCTTATGGTTCCAAAAACTTGCACAAATAGTCCTTTTGGCTAAATACTATTAACTCATATCTATATAACCACTTTAAAGTCCACCTATTGATATGTAATGTTTGTGCCAAATTAACTCAAACAAATACCTTCAAAATGCAAAGTACTTTACGTAAAAGCTCATTTTAGGCATCAAACTTTGAAAAAATTACATATAAGCCCTCACCATATTGTTGTTTTAAGTATCTGCATTCTCTAATTGAATCTACAATAAGAATCCAAAAGGGTGTCATGGATAAAAAATAAATAAATAAATAAACTTAAAATTTTTAATGGTTTTGCTCAAAATATTATTATTATTATTATTACCAAGAGTATATCTTCATCTGTGCCAAAAGATTTGCGAGCTTTCTCCAAGCATCTTGACGATATTGTCCCTCTACTCCTGTTTTATAGTTCCAAAATATATATCTTAATATTATCATTTCCTTCATGGGTAAAATTGGAAATTGGGATTAAGTTATATTGTTATAGTCAATACCCCTATAAATATAATAACTAAAAATTAAACAATTACCTAGAAATAGCTGGATCCCGAATCTCAAATTCATCTGTAACAGCATCATAACCACATATCACAATATAATGACCTATGAAATCATTAAAAAAAAATAATAATAATTATTATTATTATTATTATAGAATTTTGCAACACGTTTACATATTTGATACGTATTTTTTAAATTTTCAAGTATTTCCACTCACCTGTATAACCACCAGAGTTACCGATATAAAAATCGGATATATAAAAATCTTCTATCCACGACTGACTAAAAAAATAAAAAGATTAAATAAATAAAGTGAAATAAAATAATAATGTTAATGAATTTTTACTGTTTATATTTTTATAACAGAAATTATTTTTATACCTCAAAATGAACTGATCAACCAAAGCTATGACAATATATTTTCCTGACGTAATCAATAGTGCAATTTCATCTCCCTTGATTGACCTACACTGTAAATAAATTATACGAACATGAGTAAATGACTATTTTACCCTTGTATGGAAGTTGAAAGTCATACCTCTATATTTATCCCTGCTTCTCGTGATCTGTTGAACAACATATTTACTCTTACTATATCATCACCTAATTGCTTCTGTAATATCAATTTTCGATTATTTTTAATAGATAAAAACACAAGTAGCAATTTATTTAAATAAATTTTGAATATAACGATTTACCTTGTAAAATGACTCCAATGAAAAATTCGGATTAGCGCCTAAAGTTACAGTGATGTAAGTGAAGTTGATAGAAAATTTGTGCAGTAAATACGCCAAATCCACTGTCCAAATACTGGGATTTTAAAAAAAAAATGGTAAACAATTACACATTGGATTGGAAAATTAAAAAAGAATCAGAGTTTTTAAAAGGAAAATACCTATTTGTATTGCAAAATGCGTGAAGATCTTCGATATCATAATGATTGATGCGAAGGGTTCTTAAAACCATGAAAACACAAGCAAGGCCACAATCCCATGTGTGTTCTTGTTTTATATGTGGGACCTATACAATATTATGAACATAACTATAAGAAACTACAAGAAAATGTAATTTTTTGATGAGTAAATCAGTAAATAGACTTACATCAATGAAGTGTGATTTTACCAAAATGTCTTTCTTGCCTTTTTTCTCGTTTCTGAATGTTGTGTTGAAGTTGTGTGATGCAACCGAATTTACATCATCTTCATGAACATTATATCCTCCATTCAGTAGTTTGTTTAAGAAGATATGTAAAGGCCACATCTATGAAGAACTTGTAGTTTCTAAATTCTAAATCGCCAAACTTTACTCACGTTGATGTGAGATCTCTATTTGTATACATTATACTATTTTCTGCATCATATAGTAAAAAATAGCGTTCATATTAAGGTATACAAAGTTAGAACACCAATTATTTACTCTTGAAGGTATTATGTTAACTAAGTAAATAAAAACCCTAATGAAAAAGGTGCAGAGCAGGTAAGAGAATTATTACTATTCTATGAATAAAATTAGAAACAATATACAAAAACAACAACGTTGCAATTTATTCGATTATGAATGGAAGTCGAAGAAATCGAACTATAATCAGAAGCCATTGCGAAACGATATAGAAACTCCCCTAAATTGCACGAACAAGATGAACAAAGTAAACCTAAAAGGCCAAAATGAAGTCAACAAATACAGGAAAACGTTAAGATCACCTGACGGGATTCCAGAGAAGAGCTTGAACTTGCCGATTGATATTAAAAGAAGAATTGCAGAAATTTAGTATGAATATAAAGAGTACATGGAGAAGAAAAAAAAAAAAAAAAACCTTTTGGATTGGAAGTTGAAACTGAGTGATGATCTGAAAAGGCTTTGATTCTACTCTTTATTTTGAGCTTTTTTTCCTCCGAGATCTTCGGGTTGCCGTAAACCCTTTTTCTAATTTTGCAAAACCGATTTTTCGGTTGGAAAGAAACAAAAAGAGGATTGGTTGATTGGTTGATGTCGATGATGATGGAGTATTATATTATATTGCTACAAACTACAAAGAAATCGCCTCTCAGTCACGTGTATCGGATCTCCCGCCACTCCTTCGGAATTCGTCGGATCATATGCTCGGGCAGGTCAAAGTGCATCCAATGGTAATAGATCCACTTCGCTGATAAGATAATAAGAGAGTTGGGTGCTGTTTGTTTTTTTGAAGTCAAAATGTCTGCAGTCTGCGGACCACATCTGCAAGCCTCTGCGGCAGAAGAGGTGGACCAAATGTCTGCAATCTGCAATAAGAAGACTGTTTGTTTTTAACGTCTGCGGGCCGTTAAAATAAATTGAATTTTTAAACTTAATTTCATGTTATAAACATTAAAAATGTATTTTTAACAAAAAAATGAAAGAAAAAAAAAACTGCACGGTGGCCATGTTTTTTTTTTTTTTTTAGGTTAAAATGAGGTCTGAAGACCTTTGAAGACAGTGGCCCATGTCTGCGCCAGGAAGACCTCGCGCAGACGTTTTCTGATCTGCGCACTTCCAAAAAACAAACAATCTGCAAGGGCATATGTCTGCGCGTTGTCTGCGCGGCGCAGACAAAAGTGGTTGCGCAGATCTTCAAACAAAAAACAAACAGCCCCTTGGTATGTTAATTACAATTCTATAATTTTTTTTATTTGGAATAGATGGGTGTTATTAAAATCATGGCCTAAAAGAAAAAGATCGGGCACAAAAAAAAATAACAAAACAAACTTACAAAATGTCAAAAGGGGATTAACCCCAAAACTCATATCTACAATTCTCAAAGTTAATCTTATATTTCAACCAACTAAAAATCATAGCAATCACATTATCCGCCAACTCTTAAGATTTCATATGGGTTCTGTTAAACCAAACGTCGTTCATTGCTTTCTACATACACCATAGAAACTCATAGCAGATAGCAAGAAATATTTTTCTCTTTTTTGGATAGTTCCCCCATGAGGCAGCAAATTAACAAAATCTGAAATCGAAAGGTACCTTTGGATGGAAATGTCACACGAATTGAAAATTCAGCATAGGGAATCAAAAGCAATCGTGCAATCCAAGAGAATATGATCCACAATGTCCACTCCATTAAAGCACATTTAACAGGAAATAGAATACATGTTGATACCTCTCTTGGAAAAAGCCACTGTTGTAGGAATACACCCCATACAAGTCCTCCATACAAAACTAATGCACTTGATAGGAACTAAGTGAAGCCAAACCGTGGGGTTATTAATCGGAATAGTCAATTTACTGTCAATGAGGGCCCTAATATCGCTTACACGGAAAAGAGCCATCAATAATTAACCTCGATCTCTAAGTGTCAGGCCCATTCGATCTCACAACTAGCCTTGTAAAATCCACAATATAGTTCAATTCCATCAACTCCTGAGAATTGTTGGGTTTCCTCTTCCAAGCCCACGAGAAAGCGTCATCCACCCATCTGTTACGTAAAATGCAAGTTTTCCTCTTGTCTAACGCATATAAAGAAGGGAATTCCACTACCAAAGTCTCGTTCTTCAGCCAATCATCTAGCCAAAACATAATTTTCTTTCCATCCCCCACCTGAAATTCAAAGATATCTGAAACATCAATATCAATATTGCCAAGTGTCGAGAAGACATTGACAACACTACTCCAAGTGCCCCGAGAGATTTTTTAGCCCAGGGGTGAATATGCTTCCTTTCACATCTATGAATACTATCAATCACTCGCCTCCAAAGAGAATCATTTTCTGTTTTAAACATCCGTAACCATTTTGTCAGGAGGACCCAGTTAAGAGAGGCCAAGGATCCAATCCCGAGCCCACGGGATGATTTTTGTTAGAATCCTAAGTCGAGTAGGACTTGGAGACCAACCTAGTTTTTAGGAAATCATAAACAAGTCGGTTTCTAGTTTTCTAATTGTGATCTAATTCTACAAGTCGGTAGTTTTAGGAGTATATATATGTATAGATGTCGAGGCATGATATTATGTAGAAAAACATAATTGGTTTTTTGAGTTATTTTTCCAATTAATCAAAGAGGTGTTTGATTAAACTGTTTTTTGCAATTTTGTTTTACAAACTTGAATTGGTATTAGAGCCCAGAAAAAAGAAGTTGTGAAATTGATTCTTACCTGTTGACAAGTTAGGTCAACATTACAGATACAGGAGGAGATGGAGAAGATGGTGCACAGCCTCCTCCGACGAGAGTGAAGGAGGTTGGGACAACCACAATCGTATGTCCAATGCTTACTTCTACTAATTACACCGTCTGGGCACTGAGGATGAAAGTAGTGCTCAGAATTCACAAAGCTTGGACATCGATTGATCCAGGAACGGACGCTAATGATGAAAAAAATTACCTAGCAATCGGATTGTTGTACCAAGCAATACGAAAATCATTGATTATGCAACTGGGTGATGTCGAATCAGCTAAAGTCCTCTAGGATGCGATCAAAGCTTGTCATGTTGGGGCCGATCGAGTGAAGGAGGCTCGCCTTCAAACCCTAAGCCCTGACTTCGACAGAATGAAGATGATGGAATCAGAATCGATCGATACCTTTGCTGGAAAGTTGTCCGGAATTGTGTCTCAATCAGTAGCACTTGGCGAAACAATTGAAGAATTGAAGATGGTTAAGAAATTTCTTAAATCCTTATCGAAGAAGTTCATCCATATTGTAGCCTCCCTCGAACAAGTTCTTGACCTGAAAACTGTTGGATACGAGGATGTTGTTGGTCGATTGAAGGCATATGAAGAAAGAATAAAGGAAGAGGATGCCAATAAGAATGATCAATCGAGGGTGCTATTTGTGAAATCGACCGGAGATGGAGGAGTGTCATCGTCAGGAGGTGATGGTGCGTCGAGGTCTCACGGTGGAGCGAAAGGAAAATGGAAAGGGGCTGGTGGATTGGGAGGATATAGTCAAAACAATGGATCCAGATTTGGGTCAGCTGGATCGGGTGGTTCAATTGGTCCTAAATCACATAATAGCCCACAAAGACAAAAACCCAATAACAATTTTGATTTATCTCAACCTAATTCCAATAATTGCAAAAAATGTAATTGTTGTTGTGATAAAAATCAGAAAAATATGGAAAAGGACCGATCTAAGGTGATTTGTTTTCGGTCTTTGCGTCTGAATGTCCGGAACGACTCCAAAAATTACGAGAACGTGATTTTTCAGAACGTAACGACAGCGACGAGTCTGTGTTCTAAAACCGGGTCGGAGTTGAAGAATTTTCTAGAAGGACTTAGAGATTCGGGGGTGATTGTTGGAATCCTAAGTCGAGTAGGACTTGGAGACCAACCTAGTTTTTAGGAAATCATAAACAAGTCGATTTCTAGTTTCCTAATTGTGATCTAATTCTACAAGTCGGTAGTTTTAGGAGTATATATATGTATAGATATCGAGGCATGATATTATGCAGAAAAACATAATTGGTTTTTGAGTTATTTTTCCAATTAATCAAAGAGGTGTTTGATTAAACTGTTTTTTGCAATTTTGTTTTACAAACTTGAATTTTGGCCCAAGCACAACTTTCCAAGCAACCTAATTGATTTTTCGTTTTTCTTCACTTCCTCCCCATAAGAACCGTCTTCTCAATTTCTCAAGGTTATCAATAATGGAATTGGGGCTTTAAAAATGGAAAAATAAAAAAGAGGGAGACTACCCAACACAGTTTTAACCAAAGTTAGGCGGCCGCCAAAGGATAAAGTTTTAGCTTTCTATAAAGAAACTTTATTTTGAACACGATCAATGATAGGATGTCAGTTCCTTTTTTGGGACATATCTGCTCCGACAGGGACTCCAAGGTATTTAAAGGGAAGAGATGCGACCTCACAACCGATAATTATAACTCAACTAGTAATTTCATTCTCCGAAACTCCAATGCCATAAACTTTAGATTTGTGAAAATTGACTTTGATCCCTGAAGATGCATGAAAGCATCTCAAAATTCTCACCAAATTTATGAAGTTAGAGCTTGTCCAATCTCCAATAAACATGGCGTCATCGACGTAAAACAAATGAGAAATTGTAGGGCCTCCGTTAAGCATTCAGCCCCATGAAATAGAGAATGGCCGCAAGCCGAATGCATGGCGACATTTAATACTTTCATAGCAATTATAAACAAGAAAGGAGATAGAGGATCCCCTTACCGAACCCCTTTGGTAATTGGAAACTCTTTCGTGGCGGAGCCATCAAGGAGAATAAAAGCCCTAAAAGATGAGAGACAACCTTTTATCCAAAATAACCATTTATCTTCGAATCCCATTTGT